CCGCACGTCGCGGACTTGGTGGACAGCGGCGGTGGCAGGCGCAGCGCTGACGGGGGCAGCAGTGGTGGTTGCCCCGGAGGAGCTGCTCGCCCCACTCCCATCCCGACGAGCGGGCCTGGTCACCGTTGCCTCGGGCTCCGACAGCGCCAAGGACAGCTGCTGCGCGGCGGTCAGCGGTGGCGCGGCGGACGTCTGCTTCACCGCCTGGGAAGTTGGCTCCACTATACGAATCGTCTTGCGGGGCCTCTCGATAGCTTGCGGATGCGGCTGCTCGATCTCCTTCCGCTTCGAAGCTTTGGGCGCCGCGACAACCTTCTTCTTCTTCCTCTTGTCAGCGCGTGGCGCGACGTCGTCCACCGACATCATGTTGGCAAGGCTGGAGAAGTCAACACCTGCGCCAATAAGTCGTAAGAGAGCGGTTAATAAGACAGAATACGAAGGAAAGAAAATATAACTAACCATCCCCAAACAGCTCCTCCAAGCAGGCTTCGCGAACACCCTTGGCGTATAAATTGATGCGGTGAGGCATGCAAGCCTCGTATTCATCGTTTAGCCCGACATAGAAGCCGACGTCCGACTCGAACCCGCGCGTACTGCCCTTCTCCCAGGAAGAGGGTTCCGCCATGGTCCCGCTCGCCCATTCCCCGGGGGTGGGCTTAACGTAAAAGAATTCCTCGAACCAAGTTTTCTTCAACTTGGGCGAGCCATACACAAAACCTTCGGGGCGGTTATCGCGCCGCTGGATAGAGAGACAATCGCTCCGCGTGGTGGCCTCCTTGATTTTGTACATCTTTCTAAACAAGCCATAGGTAGGCTCGATGTTAAGCCTTTTGCACGCGAGACGGAGACAGCTCGCGTGCATGATTACTGATGGTGAGAGCCGCCCGACGGAACACTTGAGGCGCTCATATATAGCGCACAACAGCGGGTCAATGAGGAACTTGAACCCCATCACCCAATATTCTGCGTATACGCCGAACCATCCTGGGGGGCAGTTGCCCACCATGCTGCGCACCGACGGGGCAGCGTATTCCCAACTGGGGGGCAAACCCAGCCCGCGGACTAACTCCTCCACATCGTCCACGTCGTATGTCGAGGAGTGCTCGGGCCCGCGCTTGAGGCTGTCCGATGGCGCCGGCTGATCGCCCCACATCTCGGCCCACTCAATCACGCGGTAGGCCGCGCCGACACCGCGCATCCCCAAGCGGGCCATAGCTTCGGTAACGCGCTCAACAGCGCGCGGCGCGAATTGCACACCCAAGTCCCCTTGCGCCATCTCGTCCGCGGCAACTTCATCATCGGCAAATTCATCGTCGGCGACCTCACCGTCGGCGGCTCCATCATCCAAGACCGGTCGACCACCCTGATCACGCCGGATGATCACAACCCCTTGCCGCATAGCTTCCCCACCACCGGAGGAAATATTACCCACATCGGAAGAGCTTCCGACACCGTCGCCGGACCTAGCGTCGTATGACGGCGTCGCCGGAATCCCACCGTCGCCGCCGCCGCATCCGCCGTCAGATCCGCCATCCCAATCTCCAGAACCACCGCCCCCGTCACCGGAACGGTCAGAAGAAGTGTGCGATAGAGGGGAGAAATTACCTTCTTCGCCTTGCACGACCTCGGCCTCGTTGTTGTTGATGCTGGACATGATGTCGACTCGAAACTTAACAACAGCAGAAGAGGATTGAGGTTGCAGAAGGAGGAGAAAAAATCTCAGAGGAAGCAAAGTGGAGATATAATCGGAAGAAACAGATGAACCCGTCTTCCCCACAACAACCCATATTTATAATGGGTTAGAAGGAAAACAAAGGGCCAATGTCGGCCAGCGGAATGCGAAGGGTTAAAGCTACATAGGGATCCGTAACCGTCAGATCCCACCAAATCTTTTCGAAATTCAAAAAATCCCCGCCCAAAAAGCCTAACCACTCAGTGCCACGTGGATACCTATCAACATAGGCACTAGTCGGCGACGCCACAAGTGCCGCGCACCGCCTGGGGGGCAGGACATACCCGCGAGGAAAGAAAAACTCGCCTCTCGCAACACCGGATATCGCGCGAACGAACAGAGCCCAACAGCGGGCGCGCATCGTGCGCCGCAAAGGGCACGACGCGAACAAAGCGCGCGAACGAACAGAGCCCAACAGCGAGCGCTTGATGCCCGCGGAGGAGGAAAGACATGCCTCGCGCATCGTGCGCCGCAAAAGGCGCGACGCGAACAAAGCCCTACTACAAGCGCGGTGAAAAGCCCAATAACGAGCACGCGAGCGAGCGCCATCAGTAAACGCGTCGCCGGCTCATAACGTCGCGCGCGACGAAGAACCCGAACGCGAGCACAAGCAGGAGCCAACCGATGGCGACAAGTAGAGTAAACGAGCGGAATAAGCCCAAAGGACCAGCCTCACGGAGATCACACAGGCCCGAGTCTATCAAGGAAAAATCCAAACAGGAGGTGTTCACAAAACACCCCCTGATCGGGGGCAATTGTTGGGCATGTGACTCGGGCCTAGCCGCGCCAAAGAACAAGTCGGGCCCGGCCACGTCGAGGAACAGGGCGCGACTGGATGGACCCCGACATGGCAGCGCGAGGACCCCGAGCGCCACGTCGCATCGTAGTCAACCACGTCTTGGCGCGAAGAGCTTAGGCACGAGGCGAATTACAAGCGCCGAGGGAGAGCATAGCGTAGACCAAGCCAAGAGAGAAGGGGAGCGTAGCTTTCCTTCCCAAGAGGTAGTCACATCAGGGCCATTGACGGGTCTCTGACACGTCCTAGGTAGAGGGATGGCCTGGACAGGGCCTAAAATCCTTAGTGTCAGTGGTCACATCATTGTATCCCAATAGTCACATCGTTGTATCCCCACTTGAGTCAACCACTCACCCACCACAACGAAGCCTATAAATACGGCATTTACTGCGGTGGGTGAGGGGATCGCATTTTTCACCATTCTCTCTCTATAGCGACTACTTCTCTTTCTAAAATTCTGATCCACATTCTGACTCATTCTCTAATTCTCAATCCTCCGATCAACCCGAGCACTTGTGTTTCTTCTTGACCCAAACTCTCACTCGAACCTCACTCCTACACTCAGTTAGGTTCAAACAGATTCATAGTGAGATCTATTTGTAAAACTTAAAGAAGTTTAGGTATTAAAAAAATTATTTTAGATATTAAATATAAAGACCTCTTAAGTTTAGGTAGCAAACCATAATTTACAAATGGGTATAAAATGGATTAAAATTTCACCAATCCAAACAAATGGGTATAGGTACAAACTACAAATCTATCAAATTTTACTCATTTACAATCTATTTTGATTTTATACAAAACCGAGTTGAGTTGGATGGTAAAATACTCATACATATGAGCAAAATTTCCATCCCTAGTATAGTGGCCACCGGCCAAACAAGAAGGTCAACTTGCCCTATAACAAAGCCAACCTAAACAATACACGAAGGGTGAAGAAAACTAGGAAGACATCTCAAAATACCTAACATAAAAAAAAATTCCCAAAATACCGCACTATTATGGCTCACCAAAAAAGTAAGTAGTTCGCTGCCTAAAAAGATAAGAATTAGGGAGTTCTTGGATGGATTATCAAATTTTAAAGATACAACCCTATTGAGTTCGGACGAGTCTAGTTAATAGGATGAAACTAAAGGAGTTTTGCCTAATGAACTTTGTACTGCGCATATCCTTCCATCATCATTACGAGATATTTGGAGCAAAAATCTCTCTTATTGTACGATTTGGACTCGGTACTAAGAGTTCATACTCGTCATCTTTGGTAATTATGACGCAATTAAGCGGTTTATGTGTTTATCTGACTAAATCAATCAATGAATCACATGTCCATGTACATTACAAGACATTTGTAGCACAAATCTCCCTTATTGTACGATTTGGACTCGGTACTAAGAGTTCGTACTCGTGCATGTTTAGTCATTATGACATAATTAAGCGATTTATGTGTTTATATAACTAACTAATCAATGAATCATATGTCCATCAACATTACGAGACATTTGGAGCACAAATCCTCTTATTTTAAGGGGTCGGGTTACAGGTCGTTTCGAGTTATGAGCGCTCTCAGAAACAGTATCAAACAAGCTTCATATTTTCTTAAAGAACATAAAGTTTCACATGCATGACAATAGTTTACCTAACACATGTCAACTATCATATTTATAAATACTCTCATGCTAATGAAATACAAATTGCACAAATAATCAAAAAACAATCACAAGAGTGATGCTACTACAAGAAGGCCGACCGACGTTGCCTTAACGAACGTTGGGAGAGTGGACAAGGATCTGGAGTTGGCATGGAGGCTAAAGTTATGAAGAGGATGGTTGTGGCTTCGACAATCAACTCAGGTTCGGTCGCCTTAACGGCAGTGTCCATGAAACCGTACCGGCGGTTCAACCACGAAATACCAGTATCGGAGGCTAAACCGATATGCGATATTTACCGGTAAAACGGTTGAACTACGGTTAAACCACGGTTTTACCATAAAATACCCTACCGCTGACTTTCCCGATACGGTCTCCGGTACGGTTTCATGGACTATGCTTAACGGACGTTGGGAGAGTGGACAAGGATCTGGAGTTGGCAATGGAGGCTAATGTTATGAAGAGGATGGTTGGGGCTTCGACAATCAACTCAGGAGGAGGCCGGACCAGGGCGACATGGAGGAAGGTCATTCTGGTGGTCACAGCATTGGTAGGTATGGCGTATATAACTCTGTGTATGAAAGAGAGTGCATGGAGACAGAAGGCTCGTGCACACACAAGGTGGAACAAACAGATGGTCTGGCTTGATCGACCGTCAATCTATCTAGTTGGTCAGATTAACTAGACTATATAGCATCAAACTCGAAAACAATGGGTTGATATCAAATCCAGATCCAAGTGAGCTGGTATATGAGAAAATATAGCCAACTTTTCATGTTTTTGCCTCAACCTAATAACTGGACTTCTAAACTTTTACAAGCAGGTCCACATATTTATACGTAGCTAAAAACATCTGAAAAACAATGGACAAAAACATTCCAGATTCAACCGAAGCAGTTGACACACCCTACCTAAATCTATCGAAACGATGCCGAAATTCATATATAGTTTGCACAACTTAACCATAATTAATGGGTTTACTGAATGACAGGTCAATACTAACTGATTACTGAACTCCCATAATTAGAAGCATAACATAATGGTTTTCCTGTTAGAAAGACCCATAACTCTACTGCTATCATGGATGGCTTGGTTTCTGTTGTACAAACAAACATTTAACAGATCCTCCTTTATCCACAAAGCTCATCTTCTTTCTTACCAAAGGCTCTTCTTTTTCTCTGCCCATTGAGAATTGATCACTACCAACTTAATTCTCAACTGTTTGAATCATTAGTAATAATACATGATGGCTATTACTAACCTACCTGGAAGAAAGTCCACTAATTAACGTAAGGTTAACAAAAAAAACGGCAGCCTGCCCCCCTCTGCGCATTCAGGACAAAGCAGAGAAACCAGCCAAAAAAGGCAGGGGGAGAGATACAAGAGAAAAGGAATGGAGAGACCAAGACACTGTACACATACCTCTCTATATTTGCCTCCATCTTCTTCTTCCCCTCATTTCTCTAGCCCCCCCAGTGGTAATTTACATGGAATTCCCCCCACACTTTTTGGGGAAAATGTCAAAAAAGACACAATAAAAATGGGCCTGCAATGAGCGAACAACGTCAAGGTGAACAAAAATCGTTTCCCCTGCTTTGCAATGCCCTTCCAGGTACCAGCTTCATCTGTATCAATGCCACGTAAGCGACGGTTACTTTTCCCGCCTTTTAGGAACCAATATAATAAAGTCACTCCGAGGAACAATAACACACAGAATATACTTACTGTATGAGGGAATGTACCTGTACAATGCTGCTCTAAGGGCATGCAAACCCCAGCAGTGCCACCGGCTACTGGAACTACTTACTTCCAACAAGACCTTTCATTCCAGCTTAGCATTGGTCGGCCTACTATACAAACCGCCTTGCGCCGTCTGAAGATGTGACTGTTGCTCAGATTGTTGTTGCACGGGTGGCTGCTGTAACTGCGGTGAATGTTGTTCTTGCTGCGCTAGTGGTTGCTCCTGTGGCTGCAGTATCTGTTGAGATGGAGTAGGTGGTGCTGTTGACTGTTGGAATTGTGGTTGTGGTTGCTGCTGCCACTTAGCCGCAGGATCTTGCCCCTGTTGGGACAAACCTCCAGACAACTGTCGTCCTAAACCTTGGCTGGCAGAGGCCACTGGCTCGCTAGCAGCTATTTTTTGAAGAGGCGGGCTCCCTATAGAACCCACTTGGGAAGCAGGTTCAGACACCTTCCATGGTGCTGGAACACCAGAAGTACCAACCAAAACAACATTAGCAGGATCATTACTGACCACAGGCATGGATGGGGTCGCGCTCGTACCCATCTGTGGAGCAGTGTTCGGTAGCAGTTGATCGTGCTTATCGGTTAGTGACTTGGTTGGTGAACCTGAATTCTTCTGACGATTCTGTTGAAGCATCCTCTGAACTGTCGATTGAGATTGATTAACCTGCTGCTTTTGGTGTTGCTGCTGGTTTAAACTGCTCACAGGTGACGTAGCAGCTTGGTGAGAGCCTGTTTGTGCATGACCAGCTGACGGAACCTGTCCTTGACAGCTGCTATCAGAATGAGAAGGGGGCATCTGATGTAGCTGTTTTGACGAGTGCTGTAATGAGCCAGAAAATTGCTTTTGCTGAGGCTGTAGATGGTTCAAGGATTGAGGTGACACTCCTGCCTTAGATGATGATTGTGCCTTCGACGATGGTTGTGGTGGTGCTAATCCAGAACCAGAATACAAACCTTGACCACTTTGCATCAAATGCTGCATAATTTGATCACCTTTCTCTGCCCCTTTGTTTCCCGTGGCCATGGAAACGCCATTCATCTGAGAATGATCAGCAGGGAGGTTCTGATGGACAATCATGTTCCCTCTACCTACGCCTTTTACATGCTTCTGTTGTGAAGATTGAGACTGCTGATGTGGTCGCTGCTGGGGATGACCACGGCCAGGTTGTTGGAATTGTTGCTGCTGCTGCCGCTGCCGTTGCTTACCCGTCTGATTACTAGAAACAACCTGCGGGTTTCTGTTCACCCCATGATGGGTGGTTAGGTTGACTTTCTGCTGCTGCACTGACATCGGGGATGACTGCGTCAATGGAACTTGCTGCGGTGATGTTTGCGGCGGAATCTGGGGAGTGTTTTGCATTGGCAGTGACATGGGAAGCTGCGGTTGAGGTTGGACATGTGGCATGAGGGTGCCAGATGCAGTAAACGGCTGCTGCTGCTGTTGTTGAAGAAATCGCTGCTGCATCTGCCTTTCTTTAGCAACACGGATTGCATATGCTTGCTGAGGTGAAGGCGTTGCATGGTTTGGTCCTGTAAGACGAGGATTTCCTAGCACATGAGACTGTTGAGGAGACATTTGGTGCTGTGGCTGAGGATGGCCTGAAGAATATGTCTGCACAGGGGGAGAGGTTGTCTGATTAGCAAAAGCAGTATTACTCAGCCCACTAAAAGCAGGATGAATTCCTTGGCTGCTTCCATGTTTGCCCTGCATCTCTGTTACCATCATTTGTCTTTGATGCCCTGGGTCTTTAACAGGATAGGCAAAAGTAAACTAAAGACATCCCTAGTGCTGGTGCAACTAAACAAACCTTATAGCCTAACATAGCAGGCTTAGTAACAGCAAAGACGTCAAACTATTGCTGCTTAATATAGTATTTATGCTCAATGAAAGCATTTACCCGCATCAAATGCAATGGCTCGCGTGGTCTCATCAATGAGTTTGCTTGGCCTGACCCGGTTCCAGAGTGCATATTTACTCCACCTGGAAGCCCACCCGCACTAGAGGAAAGCATATTACTAGAATTTGATACCGGTGAAGGGCTTCCCTGAAAACCAGGCCTCGACAATGGCATGTTTCTATTCAATCCAGGCATCATACCCATACCATTTCCGCCAGGTAGAGGGCCCGAAACAGACAGATTAGACTGCTGCACGTTTCTTCCTGACAACATTTGGTTATAGTGTTGCATTCTCGGGTGCTCGTGAGCATGTAAAGACGTTCTTGGAGCACTGAATCTGCCATCCCTAGTACATGAAAATCCGAAAGTCAAATGTCAGGGGGAAAAAAGCAACTTACAGTCTTATATCTTGCAACCCCATTATGAGAACTCCCGATGAAACTTAGACTACCTAGCAGAAGCAGGGAGCGATCCAGATGGAGATGGTGATGATGTACTATTACTTAGAGCAATGCCTGAGGACCCTTGCACACTAGGATTAACACCAGAAGCAGGAAGCGTTGATCCTACAACACCTTGACTTGGCATTGGCAAAACACCAGCATGAGACCCTTGATACCCAAGGATGTCTGGACTTGAAGGATTCATATCACATAGCTCAATAGGCCTTCATCGAGAGAACAAAATTTCAGAACGGCTTTTCCAAAGGTGAGTAATGCAGACAGGATAAACTGAAGAGCAGGCCATGATAAGCAAATATAGCAAGGTGAGATAAATTTGCATGTCAAACTTACGTTAGGATGCTTCCATTTAGGTTATTTGGGCAGACTTGGGAAAGAGCAATCACATGAGAATTGTGAACTGGTATTTGCTTAGGATCTTGGGTATCATTCTACACAACAGACGGCAAAAATCATTTAAAGCAAGTTAGCCAAGATTTTGAGATAGACAAGCAGTAAACAAATTATTTAGAAAGTTATCTACAGTCCTAGATTTCATTTTTTACGTGATACATGTCACGTTTTATTTAAGCTGCTATAAAAAAAGGCATAATCTCGACATCATGGTCATTATTTCACTTCAGTTGCTGAAGTGTCAAACTTCAAGCAACAGTCTGAAACAGTAGGATCATCTTAAGACAGAGTGACTGAAATCATCTAGCATTGTCTGAAACAGTAGAAAAAGCCTTGAATTGCTAATCAGGTTGACAAGAAAATACTTAATAGTATAGCCCTTAAGAATGTTAATACTACCAATACAAGTGTACACTGCATGAACAAACCTGACTCCTCCTATAATGCAGCTTCTTGCCGATCATAATAATCTTTTCAAAATGGGACTTGAGAGTATCCTCTTCCATCGGTCCCTGCAACCGTTGAAACAACTGTCGAGCGCTACCCTGAAGCATTAACACCATGGAAAATTAGTTCCGTTTAAAATAGACATAAGCCACTATGGAGCACTGCAACATCCTATCTCCCTGATTCCAAGCAAATCATTTGGAAGGTTAGTGACCGTGCCTTCGGAATGCCAGGCAAGGTCGACGGATATGATTGTGATGTCCCTGAATCTTCAGCACTATCAGCACCATCTCCAGCACCCTTGTCCATCAAAACTTTATGCCGCTCCTTGCATTCTTTCGGTGCACGAAATATGCACTGACAGGATCGCCAAGATTCAAATGAAAATTCAAGTAATATTAAATAAATTGCTTCAATAACGTGTATAAACAAATGCAGCTCGGTAGCAGGAACAACATGAGACACATCTAGCTGTACAATGAACCAAATTCTAGGATAACCGATATGAATACTCACCTTAAAATGAAGAGTGCTATTGATAGCATCGCTTACAAGCTCCCAATTAGGACCCATATCATGCACAAGGACTACAAGTGCCTGGGATACAGAAATCAGCATATATTGCCCATTTAAGAAACCTACTCAGTACCAAAAACCACAAAGAGCAAGATCAAGGAGGCTGCAAGATACCTGATCCTCAAAGAGGGACCACGGACTTCCAGAACCAGGTTGGCCAGCAGAAACCTGTTGAGAAGAGCATTTGTTTAAATCATCTAAAAGGTTAAATGTCCAGGAGACAAACTGACAAGTTATAGACGAACACTAATCATCAACCCATACCTTAAGTGACTTGGGTTTCCTTCCCCTGTCCCTGCCATTGATCAGTCTCATAAACCTATTTGTGTTGGGCATATTACTCATCTGGGATGCTGCTGGGGAAGGAATCGACCCAGTGGATGGAGCTACATTGTCAAAGGCATCTAGCGATTGCTTCAGCATCTTTGGCTTTTTCCAAGTGTGTTGCCCATATAAACCTTAAAAGGTAAGAAGCAGAAAACTTTAAGCACCATGCATCCCAACATTAAGCACCCAGTCAAGTCAACACATGATGAAAAGTGGTCTTACCACTATTTCCGTTAGAATCAAAATGATGATTCTCCAGTCGCCTTTTCTGGTGCTCTCTCTACAAGTAGAAAAGAAACATCAGATAAGAAATCATACTAATATCAAGGGCCACTTAAGCAACCATTTTCACCAAAGAACGCTACACAAAACCTAAAGTACTCGTAATTCTTTCTAGGATTGTTAGTACTTCAACTAGAAGCACAGAAGATGCCTAAAAGGAATCCTTGTGACCTCCAGCTCAGCTTTAAGCTTTTACAAGTCCAATTACCGAATCCCACAGCCACACCACCAAAATTTTGACAAAACACAGAAGCAAGTCCCTCAGAAATGCAACTGAAGTAAAAATTGTAATCAACAGCATACATGCCTGCCCTTATGCAGAACCATCAATCAAGACTTCTAAGAAGCCAGCTAAAACTGTAAAGGTTGCAACCGGCCTCCAGAAATATTCCTACTTAGAAGCACTTTTGTCTAGGTCTTTCTTCTCCACCAAACAAATCACTCCAGCAAATCCTATTCTTGAATAAAAGATACTCAATTGAGCTTTAGTTGTATCATGCTTTTCAGCTATTAGAAAATTGTTCAGACCTGATTATCTGGTTCCAATATTGAAAATTGTACAAATATTCATTAGCTACATAAAACTGAAAGAAGACCTTTTTGGTGGGAGGTTTCCACCAGAGCCAACAAATTTTGAAATTTTTCCCCAAGCCATACTTTTATATAATGAAAGTATTCATTTCTGTAAGGACTGGAATACATTTGTTAAAAATTGTGCTATATCATAGTTCATAGACGAAACACATAGGATCACTATATTCACTCAGAAATGCAACTGAAGTAAACAAGCTCGGATGACCTGTTCAACAAGAGTGGTTGAATCGTGTTGCCAACTCTGCTCATAAGCAGAACCCTGCATTCGATAAGGAACGAATTAATAAGAAGCAAACAAGGAGTTACATGATAGACTACATTATACTTGTAACAACGGACTACTAAAGCATGGATATATGTGCATACCAGATGCCTAGCCTTCTTCTTCTTCTTTGGCTTAGTCGTAATATCTGAGCAATCATAAGAGAGATGTTTCTCAAACTCGCCAACAGAATCAACCTCCATGCCTTTTTGGATTTGTGAACCACCATGCAAGGTGCTTTGATCATCCTGAAAAGAACTTGTATCTCCGCTTGAAGCATCTGTCTTTGCCGGAGCAGATGGACCTGCAGGAACACCAGTGCTAAAAGGACTAATAACCCTCTGCCGAGAAGCAGTGCGCATACGCTTAGGTGGAATTGGGCCAAGGTTACTAGCAGGCCGTTTCCCCATCAATGTATTTTGAGAACCCACAGTTCCATATGGCACATCAGTTCCCACTTCATAAGATCTTGATGGGAATGACTTCAGAGAGTGTTTCCTTTTCTTTTGATCATGTTTTCTTGGCCTGCTACTTTCAAATGCTCCATGCAAATAATATGTACTAGTTTCACCTTCATCCTCATCATATCCATTCTCAGGATATCCAAAGTCTGGGTTTAACATAAAATGCCAATAAAAGTTTATTATATTTACCATAACTAGTAGAAAGGAAATACAACCACATTTGAAACATTATCAGATTACCTGCACCAGCATCAACCATGGATGTATCACCTTCCTCTTGCATGCTGCTGCCTGTTTTCTGAAGTGGAAACTAACATTAAGTGACCGAAAATGAAGTACCCATTATTTAATGACACAAGCTATGTAGAAAGGACTAAGTTGGCTCCAATTACACCATTTTTTAAAAAAGATAATAAATTCACTGTAACAGCTAAAGCAACAATGTGCAAAAGCACATCAATGACATGTAAGCTTACCTCAAACTGAACTAAGTGTGATTCAATTGAGCTTCTGTAGGAGTCCATTGCACCAGAAGGGACGGCATAGAACAAGCTCTCCTGAAAAAGAACAAATTATGCAAGATAAACAGGCGTAAGCATCTTCCATTCAGGGCAAAAAATAAGATAAAGGACTTTAAAGAACCTTATCATTCTGAGGCAAGAACTTACCAACATAAATGCATAAAATATAGAGATGGTATGACAAGTCATAAGTCATAACTAAATAAATAAAAACACTATGGAAAAATATTGACAAACCATACTTCAGTCAAGTGATCATCCCACGAAACTTCCATAACTCCAGCATCGCTTACAAGATCCGGAGTTGCAGGCTGTTCTGCTTGAATTGCAGGAACTGGAAAGCTGTTAAATTTCAAAAATCTAACAGCATATCCCTTAACATCATTCTTTCTGGGACTTTGTTGCTCAAAATCTTTGCATGAATCCTGTTGATTGACAAAGCGACAATGACTCGTGTTATTCTCTTTGCTAACGTCAAGCAAACTCTTCCAGTTAGCAGCACCCACTAAGAATATGAATGAATTACCACACCAAATATTTTAGACAAAAGGTGAAGTAAATCTAAAACTCAAAACACACTGAATGAGAATCAGTTACAAATAATTTCTGTAGATCCTAATATAATCTCCCAGTAATAAATTGGTTTTAAGGAAAGATATCAATTTTCAAAACAATCACCATACTTCCGAAGAGAGAAAAGATCACCTTCCCAGCAGCAGGTTTGTTCTCGTTAATATCTGTAGTTGGACCATGACTTTTATCAGAACACAGAAGCAGTTCCGCCGACTGCCAGAACTGCGTCACAGCTTTGGCCAGAATGTAGGAGACTTTTTTCAGCTTCAAACACTGATTTTGTTCCTCCACTCTCAACCGAGAAGTAAGTGCTACACGCCGGCATATTTGTGCAGCAGCAGTCATCTTCCAAAGACGCTCCTGCAAACGGAGATTTTATGGAACCATAAGCAATTATATCTCATTCAACATTATTATCAACTGGAACTTCCACGCCAACATATTAACAAGTGCTATCTAGCGCAACTTGTATTAGCAATGCATCTACCAAGTAAAAGAAAGCAGAAATGAAACTTCCACATATGGCATTACAAAGCCAGACCTGTGCAAAATCATTAGCCAACCATCTCATTTCTTCAAGGACAAAATCCCAGTGAGACTTTTTCCGAGACTCCACCTGTGCTACTCCAAGAGATAACTCGGCAATCCTCTTTCTCTTAGCCTGTACCGGTTTGGTGTAAGATCAGGAAAATTTTGATGAGAAAATGGAAATTGATTGCCTCACCAAGTTAGATAAAGATAGAGTTAAGGAACAAACCTCTATACTCCGCGCCTCTTCCAAAATAGAATCTTCACGGGCCCTGTCTATCTTGATGTCAGAACAAGAATGAGGTTCAGCAGCAGCGGCAGAACTATTTTCCGGCAATTGAGATTTCAGTTGCTCCTGCTGCAAGGAGAGATCTGAAGGGTTCTCCATTGCACAATGGCTAGCATTTACCCTGCCGGGGATCAACTCATTATCCAATGATGTAACAGCATTTTCAATGCTCACAGGTGCAGCTATCTCATTTTGATGTGTTTCTTCAAGACTTGGGGTGCACTTAGCCTCACTCTGAGGACCAGGAGACTTTTCCGTATCTTCTATTTTTGCTGCCACACCATTAGCAGAAGCATTTTCAGACGTAGAGTTGATGCCAGCATCACCAGAAGCATAATTCTCTATAGCAACACTAACATCCCTTTCTTTCCCAGTTTCAGCGGCAGCTGAGTTCTGTGTTCCTTCAATTTCTGCTGCTTGTTTCAAAATAACTTTGTTAGCGTCCTCCTCCCTACGGTTAATACACAAACTGCTTCCTTTATTTACATCTACGCTAAGGCTACTTGGGGTGCAAGAGGAATCTGAATCTAATCCCTTGATCACTTTAGTGGCAACATCATTTTGCCTAACATTGTCATTTTCCTTCTGGGCACTGAAGTCATTCAAAAGAGTAGAACCAGCTTCAACCTCTGATCTATCAACAACTACACGAGGTGAAGACTCGAGACCAACTGAAACCACTTGTTCATTTCCTACATTTTCATCACGTATCCTGATAGTATCATCAGTTGGTTGTTTCTGAGTATCACCTCCAACAGGTTGATCTTTTTCTTTATCTTTCATGATATTAGACTCTCTTGCATCCAATTTATCCACCGGACTGCTTTTAGGTGCATCAGTTGCCTGCAGAGCCAGCACTTCTGCCATTTGAGGGATCATTTCCCCGTTTGAAGTTGTAGGTTTGGGTTTACAATCAGAGGGGACTGTATTGTCTTTCTGATTGTTTGACTCAGATATGAACTTAAGATTCCTAGATCCCCTGGGAAAGGAAGATCCATGGACACCAGAACTCTGAACCACATCACCAGAACTTGATCTACCACCATCTCGATTTGGCCTAGACCTATTCCTTCTAGCATATGGACGAACTATAGCAGAATCTTCAGACTCCTTTGCATTCTGAGCTCCTTCCATTTGAGATGACTGCTGAGACGGGGCAACACTATTCCTTCTGCTGAGATGCCTACGGTTTCGTTCACCTCCAAGTAAATCATTTTGACCATCAAAATTATCAGCACTGTTAGGTTCGCAAACTGCCGTAGGCCCAGGTCGGCCGCTACTTTCAACAGAATCCCCATGGGGTGATGCAGTCAAAGCGAAGCTACCTTTAGCTTTGCTATAGTTACCATGTGAAAAAGAAAAAAAATGATAACTAAATCAGCCACCTTATTAGATGTACAGCCACAAAACCGAAGAAATCTGCCACAACATCATAGTGGTATGTATACCTAGTCACAACATGTTCTGCCTGATGATCAGTGAATGATGTGGATTGGACACTAACTGACGTAGCATTGCCAAATTTGAAGTCCAAAGGATTGCCACCCTATGGAAGAGAACAATTTAGAGCATTCAAAGGAAACAGACAAAGGTTGGAAACAGTGAAACAGATTAGACTCTCCATACTTTCTCAAGGAATTCAAGCTCCCTTCTCCTTTCCTCGCGAACATCATACTCCTGTCTGTTAATCACCAAATGATGGTTGCTACTCAATAACACTAAAAATCGATGATTTTAGTGGTAAATAAACTACAGGATGAAAGGATTACCTAAGCTCTGCCTGAGCCTTTTCAATCGCTGCTCTGCGTGGAGAGGTTTTGATGCCAATACCAACTCCGCCGTCAACAACCCCTCCCATGGAATCAACCTCAGCATTTACTAGGAAATCAGACCGCGAGTCACATCCATGCATTACTAACTCACGGGCTAACAGGGTTCCTCTATCATTGCTTCAGATAACTATCAAATTCAACAACAAAAGAAGTCAAACAATTAGAACTGGTAAAAATAGACACGGGGATACGCGAGTGCATTTTTCCAGTCTATGAAGCTTACAACTGCATAGGATCAGGACTCGTTGGGAAATTTATATAGGGTCCTCTGGAATTCATTTCAGGTTCAAACAATCTGAGCAGCATGATAAAGCAGATATAGTTTCACTTTAACTTGATTCAAGATGCATGTGCATGTCTATTACAGATTAATGCCACAAATAAAAGATGAACACCAATCACACTGTACCAGCTGCACCTATCCATCTTCCAGTATAAATGGAGTAAAATGGCAATCTAGTCAAGCTTCATCGTATTGTATGGGCATGATCGACCAATATGGACGCTGATAAACGTAAATGCAAGTCAAGGAAAATGATCTAGCTCACTACAGATTCGTACAAAAGAAGTAGCAAAAGCTCAACTATTTGCAGCTAAATTCCAAAAAAAAATTACTTCACTGTTGAAAATGAAAGCATTTCGCAAGCATTCTCTTTGAGGAGTAATACAGCCATTTGGAGTCTCTGTAATAGTGTCTTGGGCAGACACATTAGCAAATGCTTGCACCTCGCCCAAACCGACTGAGAAAGAACATGTTATGCATGCCCGAGAATCATCGAGGTTATGAATCATCAGCAAAATCTCATACAGCATGTGCCATATGGTATCGAACTTGAAACAACAAAGAGCTAGCAATATTATGTTCCGCATGCGAGCATCAAAATTGGCAAAGTCAACAGCATCTAGGTTTATACTATTATGAAGGGGGGGAAATTTAAAATCAACTAAAGTTTAACCATAAGCTCCTGCATTGTTCCCTCCATAATACCTCAGCCAACACCAAAACAATCTACAGTGCACCCATTTTTCCTAGAACAGCAAAATGAACCTCTTCATACCCTTTATTACAGAGGCACCAAATGATATCCATTACCAATAGAAAAATTCGATAAAAACATTAAACGTGTCGTAGGAGCAAGCAGCTAACCAACTGTCCTGCAACCCAGGAAGACAGAGTAAATGAGCATGCTGTCATGAGTGGGTACTGAATGAGCAGAAGACACAAAAAAATTCTCCCAATAAGTCATGAACTGAAGTAGCTCAGGAATGACAGGCACGAGCAAAGCTTAGTTATTGCAATTGAAACTCCATGGAACAAAAAGCAACAGGGCAGCAGTTGCAGAGAGGAGAGGGGGGTATTCCTGGAGCACTCAAACAAAATGCACAACACCAGCGAAACTGAAACGCATTGGCGTGGCTTGCCCCAGACACAACAAACCCTAATTTCGCGAAATCACGGAGAATTGCCACGAATTCAGCACGGCGCCAGGATTCTAGGGTTTGCAGAGCAACACGTAAGGAGCAAGGAATTCACCTGAATTGCGAAAGCTTCGAAGAAGCTTAGAGAACGCCAGTGGGGCAAATTCGAAACCTCGTCGTTCCCCCCCGCTCGTGCGTTGACACTTGTTTCTCTCACCTAGGGTTTTTTTTTCCCCCTCCTTCGTTTCGTTCCCTCCCCCGCCTTTGTTCCCGCACACACACAATCAATAAAAATTGACCTAAAAGAGAAGGGAGTTGGCGCCAATGTCAGCCATGGAAAGCTCGCTATTGCAATCTCTCGTGATATTTGGCCCCCTCTGAAAAGTGGTTTTAGGAAGAAAAAAAAAAATTTGTTCCTCGCTCAGAGTTTCCCCCTTCCTTTTTCGTTTGTGTTCGCAGGGTGTGTTGTTTGTTTTTTTTTTTTTTTTTTCCTTCTTTGTTTGCCTTTACTCAAACTTTCTCTCTCTAAGGTTTGATTTTCGAAGGAGAGGGGGCTACTATGCGAATGTGAGCGAGACGGACCAGAGCGAGAGTGAGTGCAAGTGTCTCTGCAGTGCTACGTGGGTGTGGGCTTGGCTTTGGGTCCAAGTCCAACCACGAAGAAAGATTACGACGAACCAACGGAAAGGGCCTTATATCCGAACCCGATCACCTCCGGTCCATAACATGATTTTTATTTTCATTTTCTTACCATGGTGAATTTCGATTTATCCTTGTCACTAAAAAAAAATTCCACCTTATAAGTCACTGAATTTTGAATTTTATTTTATCGTAGGTTATTGGCAGTTCAATTGTGTTAAGTTCGTTCTAGGTGGCGGTCAACTATGAAATTCAACCATGAAATGTCATATACATGGTTGTCGGACTGGTTGCATGGCGATCGCTACAACTAGGTTCAACTGATATCGGTTACAAAATCGGTTGAACGTCTTCAATATAATTGGCATCACTGATTCTCGATATCTAAACAAAATGATGTTGTTTTGAAGAATTTACTAAACAACAAAATTATTTTTTTGTTTGTTTCTTGAATTTGAAAGTTATGTTGTTGGATACAAGTATGAATGTTTAGATGTTTATGTTATTTGTTGGATTCAAGTATAGATGTTTGAATGTTGGCATTAAATGTTGTATTTCAATATGAAGATCTTTTTGCGGATGACTTATTAGTCTTCTCGGATGGTTCAAATCATGGGTTGAGAGGTATTCATATGGTTCATAGTAGGTTCAAGGAGTTATCTGAACTTAGTTCTGATTCTAATAAGTGTGAGTTGTATTGTGGAGGTCTCACGCGGTCTCAAAAGGATAACATGTATACTTGGTCCGGTTATAAGGTGGGCAAATTACTTGTTCGTTATCTTGGAGTCCCATTGATTGCTGGCAAGCTTACTGTTGCTTCATGTCGACCTTTGATTGATAAAATAACAGCAAGAATTTTGAGTTGCAAGCTCAATCATTGAGTTATGTTGGGAAAATGGAATTGGTTATAACAAAAGGCAAAACAATAATACGACAATACAGGAAAAGAAGTCAGGAATCCCCCTCAAGCACCCAAAACATCTGTTAAACCTCGAGTTCATTAGGAAAGAGTTGCTTTAAAGATAAAAAAAATCCCCTCCACCAATCTAACTCTCAAGGATATTGAAGCGGCTTTAATCTAGGTGGCCCCCATAACCATGGAACCTTCAGCAAAATAAGAACATTAAGTCGATGTCATGATGGCCATAGAGCAGCAAACACAATCGACCAGGACCGAGATGCTGATAATTACCTAACCCCTTTGGTCAACGTACTTGATGGTTCTAGTCTCCAAGCTCAACTCCCCATCCTGGTTGTGGACTGGCGTCTATGGTAGCCCGCAATACCATTACCATGAACAACTCTGGGAGATTCTAATTACCGCTAGCAATCACTCCATTTCCTCAACAACTATCAATCGAGACCTCAACAAGAAAACTATCCTCTATACCAAAGATTCAACCAACCTCGCATACCTTATGATCAATGGCCTACCCAAGCAGGAAAGAAGCCCGAGGACTACCCCCAAAATCACATCTACCAATGCACCTTATATTCATGAAGTACAATGGCAGAAGAAACCAAGTCCACCTGGATTTGGAAATTACCCTCAATACAAGGCGCAAGGAGAAGGGGTCTCTAATCAGCAACCCATCAGATTCGAGAAGCTTGAAGCAACATTGATAATAATGCAAACGAGCTACGAGAACATCAAAATAAAACTTGCACTCCTCAAGTATGCCTCCCAAGCAATATAGAGAACAATCCAAAGACGAGGAAGTCAAAGTCATCTCGACAAGGATGAGAGTAGCCAAAAGTTTCCCTAACATTAAATAGGAAGAAGATAAGAAAGGATTTGAGTATCCATCCCTCTTCAGAAATCTTATAGAAGCTTTTGCAGGAGCAGAAGTGGTAGTGTCGATATTGGAGAAGTTGATTTCAATGGAAGATATCAAAGAGAAGTTCGAAATTTTCATTGAAGAAGATGACAAGATTAAAGATAATAAGACCATAATCAAGAAAACCCCTTGGGGTTATAAATAATTCATCCTAGTCAATGAAACCAAGGAAGATCCAAGATGACCATCACATCGAAAAAGGTCTAGTTGACCTTGGCTCAAGCGTCAACATACTAGTGACTCCCTCCGACTACACCTAATAAAATTCGATTAGAGCCCAGGTATAAAATCTAGTAAGGTGTAGTATAGGGCAAGCATTTTAAAATGTCAACACGAGCCGGTCCATGTACTCATACTTCAACCTTTTAAAACAATATCTAGCAATCGATTTTTAGTGAAAACTAAGGACAACAATTTAAAGCAAGAAAGAAGGCAAATTGTTTTAGAATCTATATGAGAAAGCTTCATCCGGCTATTGCTCCCCCTAGCTATATATCAAGATCGACCGAATAGAATGCAAATATGCAAGAGTGTGTTCATACACCGCAAGGGGCGCAACTAGTGAAGAAACTTCACTCTCATGGGTGATAGGCCAAGGAATAATATATTAAGCTAATGAACTAGATCTCTTGGCTGATCAACCAAGGGTTGCAAAGGCTACTCCCTCGGAACTTAATCCGGACGACAAAATAACAACCAAATCAAAGTGCTAATTTGAAGCTTGAGGCTTGCCCTAAAATTGTCATTGGTGGGTGACTCAAATGGCCAAGAAATCCAGCTTCTCAAAGCCTATAGCAAAAGGGGATTCTCTCCACCTAGGTCAATTTGGCATGGTTATGAGAAATGAAGAACACAACTCAAGAATTCTGAAAATACCTCAAACTTTGCATTAAGCACAAATCCATGCACATAACATTCAATCCATATAATCTATCACATATCTAAAGCTAGGGTTCACAATGTCTAAGTGAAAAAAGAGCACTACTCCATAGATAAACTAGGGATTACAACAAAGAGAAGAGGAAGAACCATGGTGTGGTGTTTGACTTCCTGCCTTGTTGTAGAAATCACCCTTGGAAGATGAAAATCCTCAATCCTCAAGCTTGGAGCGAACTCTAGACCTCTTCTTCTCTCTGGGTTCGTAAGTTTCTCTCTTTAAAATTAGAAGAAGAAGAAGAAGAAGAAGAAGAAGAAGAAGAAGAAGACAATCTCTCACTAAGCTCCTCCCAAGTTTTATACCCAGGCCGCGCACACATCATGGTCGGATATCACGGGCGTGAACTGGAAGCTCGGACCGTCATCAAGGACAAAAGCACACCGTTTCATTTACATTCTTCATGGTCTGGATGGGATTATCACGGTCTGGTGACCGTGATATCTTTTTGAACCGTGAGGCATAAAAACTCTTATGGATTCCACGAAAATCATGGTCTGGTCCTTATCTTCACGATCGGTTGACCGTGATAATGTTGCTCGAACCGTGATCTGCCCCTTTTTGCTTCTTTCAATCCAATTTCCCTCTTTCGTTCAACTTTTGCTCCCAAGGCCAATCTCGCCTGTTAGAACTTGAAACATGCTGGAAACATGCGCAACCTAGCGTAAAATCAAACCTTAAGCGATGTAAATGCCTCAAACATTGAAGAACATGGGGTGAAAATATGTGCAATTAGACCCGAATCACTAGCAATGCATCTATACAAAGAAATGAGACTAGCTTACATGGAGAACATCAACATAGAGATCACGATAGTCAACAACACCCCTTGTAGAGCTCTAGGAGTTGTTAGAGGCCTAAGCACCCAAGTTGGCCCATTCATATTCTTCCCTGACTACCTCGTGATTGACACAAAAACAAGAAAAGAGTACTCAATCCTCTTTGGAAGACCATTCATTGCCACTTCTGGAGCAAGAATTGATGTTGTCAATGGAGAAATTACTTTACACATAGAAAAGATCATGTACAAAGTGGAGAAGCCATTCAAAAGGAGAGATGAATTCAAGAGGTATCTAGAGTAGGATATGGAGAATGAGATCAAATTTTGATTTGGATCTCTGTTTTAGGATTCAGCACACATGATAATTCATCACCATGATCAAGACCCAAAGTATGGAGGCAAGTTGAAGGAGGCTCCGCCAATTCTTGTTCTGAAACTAGCTCAAATGGCACTCAAGATAACTAGTACAAGGCCAAAGACAATGCTGTAAAGGATCAAGGAGATGGAATATGAGACATCAAAAGAGTATCAAGAGTTCATCCATCGTTATCAACCTCATGGGGTCAACAAAGAACCAATCATTGCAACTAAATGGGGCCATAATGATGAAGTGAAACTTGATTGAGAAATCAACTGAAGGGCGTCTAGCTCAAAGGTGTAAAAGAGAGAGTGCTTCATGGGAGGAAACCCATGTATGGAGTGAAACTTAATGACGTTAAACAAAAGTGATCCAAAGAGACAACCCAGATTTCTCTTTCATTGTTAATATTTTGAAATTTCAAGTTTGTTTTTAGCTTGAGATTTTGAGTTGCTCATTGGTGGAAATTATTGTATTCCTTGGATAGGTGTTACAATTAGAGATAGAATTTGGTCTTACGACAAGAAAGAAGGTTTGGAAGACGTAAAAAAAGTACAAAACCAACTTTTGTATAGTCAAGGTAAGGTTATAATAAAAAAAATGTTAGAAACCAACAAAGAACGTGAACGGAAGCAGTGGCGGTCAGACCAGCCACCCCACCGCCGCTGCCCTTGGACCTATAAAGACCTCACTTTCGGCCACCACTTCACCCAAAACTCATTTTCACATGCTTTCCTCTTTCCTTAGACGACACCCTTATCATTCTCTCTAAGTTTTCAATTTTTCTCCCAATTTCTTCAACTTTCAATCACCAAATCCACCTCCAAAACTCAAAATTTGATCCTCAAATTTGAAATACAACCTATCCAATATCAACAAAACAAATCCCAACTAAAAAATAAAAATAAAAACTCACCGAAGTACTACCAGCGGTTAGACCCGTCGTGCCGCCTCCCTTTCTCTCTCTAGAATCTTCA